AGGTCGCATTGCAAATCTGCAATAGTTCACCCTCTGCAAGTGTCTGATGGCATAATAAACACAGGCCAGCCATTACAACCTGAAAACAAAAAAATTATAGCACTGTGATAGAATTTTCTTAATTTAGGAACGTACTTACTCAATAAATTGCTGAGAAGTTCGAAAAGCCACGTGTACACAGAGCTTGCTGAACACGGTTATTAAAAATCTATGCCGATGAACACTATCAAGCTATTCAATTTGTAAAAATATGACCGTTTGAAGTTTAAACTTGTCAGATAGCGAACGCCGAGACCATTACTATCCTTGATGCGACGTGCGGCTAATTTGACGGTAATTCTATATTTTGCACAAAACTCAAGAAACGTCTTATAAGAAGTCAGTAAAATACAATTTAATAAATTTTAAGCCTAATAAATTTAGATATGTAAGAAATTTAAAACTGGAAATCGCAAAAAAATAAAATTACAGTAATGTAGTGTATACACGAGTTTTGAATCCCGCGGAGCGCGTGTAATGGGACTTTTGTTGGGAGAATTCTACAACTTAGAAGAAACATACACACTTTAAACTTTGTATACACATTTAGAAGACATGAAATTTGGGTTTGCTTAATTTTCAGACCAAAAAACTAAAAATTGTCAATTTTAGGCAACTTTTCTCAAAAACCGTATTTTTTGGTTGTCATTCAATGAACAGTGGTCAAAAAAATAGATAAAATATATTTGCAGAATTTTCCGAAATGTAATCGTATTCTAGACACAATAAAGTACTAAAAAAAAAAAGTTTTGAGCCATTGGGTGCATTTTTGTGCCTTTTCAAACTTTCGAAAAAAAAATAATTTTTTTTTAAGGAAAAAAATTTATTTAATTGTTTGATATCTTAGCCAATTATGATCCAATGTCGGTGAAATTCACACACACATAAGATTTCACATTTAAGAGTAAGTTTTGTAAGTGGTATTAAAAAAATTCAAATAGTTTGGCCGTTATAGGCAAACAATGAAATTAGGACCGCGGTACACTTTGCCCTTCCGCCATATGCCCAATTTTGGGCTTTCTTTTGCCCCCTTCTGGGAATTACTAGTCACATCCCTTAAGTTCAAAACGCATTTTTGTTTTTTCAAATATCTTAATTTTTACCAATGTTATGAAGAATTTAGTGTTTGAACATTTAACAAATTCAATTTTTCGACCTTCGTCGCCTCAAAATACTAAACAAATTTCAATCGTCTATACCGCGAGAACGGTGCATCGGATAAAAATTTCACAAGAGACATAAAAATTAGCATTTTTCCTAAGTTTTCAAATGTCGTAAACTGCGTTTTAAAAATATTGATTTATTTCCGACATGCGCCTGCGCAAAATTGAAAAATTGACAAAATCCAAAATTTCGGCACTTTCGAAAAACTGCTACATTTAGTTTTGCCTTTTTTCGAAAAGATCACCTAAAAATACATAGAATCCATTTTGTTTCATTTAATTACAATTCAATGTAAGCTCAAAACCCGTAATTTAATTCGATTATGTAATAACTAGATAGGAAAGTCATGTGTTGGACACATCAGATTTTTTTCGACGAACTCAGGACCATCTGGATATTATACCTATTTTAGTATTCTATTCTCCAGCAAAAATTTGTAATCCTGTATCACTGTATGGCCAGTGCTAAACAAAGTAGAGAGTCGTGTCGATAGGGAAGCACTGTAACATCTACGTGATTACAGTATATAAAGTTACATTCCAATAAAATATCTTGGAAACAAACTGTAAACATTTGTATTAAAAAAAAAACTAAAATATTATGTACTTTATTGACATGTTAAAAATATTACATATGTACATATTTAGGTAATTACATTTAATTTAAATATTAAATGTCTTACGTTATACGGTATTATACAAAATTATGATGAAAAATAAATTAATTACAGATGCCATTGAAATGTCAATAAATAAATGTTTAGAATGATATTCTTAAGAGATTCTTCCAAAAAATTTAAAATTTCAATTTCTACATTCCTAAAAGAAACTTATTTAAAATATCAAAAGAACCCCCAAAGACAGTTTCACAAAATATAATTTTTTAGTTTGTCACTATGAATAAACTATAAAAAAATTTATATCGCAAAATTGTTGTGTAAAATTAATAATCCTAGTAAATAAATTAGAGACAACAAATTTTAATCATAAACTTACACCTAATTCAGTTCTTACATTATATCAATTATTTAATTACAGGAAGACACAAGTTGTTAAAAAGTAAATGGCATTTTTGAACAGCCATTTTAAGAAATTTGGTTTTATTCTAAACCAACTAAAAGTTTAATTGATAAAAGTCCCTGAACTTAACACAATTCATAATTTTAATATCATATAGGTATTCTATGGATCAAAAACTATTAATAAATATATTAAAAACCAAAATAATTACTGCATTAATTTTTAAAAACAATTTTTTTTGAGAAGTTTTTACATTACAAAATTCTTATTTCGGTGTTCTTTAACACGTTCACTGTTATAGTGGTAATTTTCCATAAACTCTGTCAAATATCTTACCCCACATGTGGGTCGTGATGCTATGTTAGAAAACCGTTAGTTAATACTTTTGTTTTGTATAACTCTGTATGTTTGCCACAAAATCACTTATCCATGCTGCAAATCAGATAATCTCTAATTCATAGCCTTCTAAAGATTGTCAAGCAATATACAGAACCAGATCCAGGTGCATCAAACAAGAAAAATAATGAAGAAAAAGAAATATACAAACTTTAGGAGCTGCCTACAGGAGACGATCAGAAAATATTCGGAAACAGTTATCAGGGTTGGAATACCAAGTTAAGAGATACACTTTCTTAAAAAGAAGCATGTAAGAAAGCAAAGAAAGTTACTACAGTTTGTTCTAAATGTAATCAAGTTTATTGTATTTCCTGTTTTGCAAAAGTCATTAGATTTTCTTAGTTTATGTAAGTGAAAATAATATGGTAATTTTATAAGTTGAGGTTCAATTTGAATAGGTTTTGTTTCTTTTATAGAATGTTCAACTAGTTTTTATCTCAGGTAATTTGAAAGATATAAAACGTTTTATTTTTACCAAAATGTAGCATTTTTTATTGCCTTAAGTCCCACCTAAATAATAAAACTGTTACTAGTAAGTGTTCACTCAAATACTGGCATAAGTATGCAACACACATGTGTATTGCAGGACATATATTGATCATGCCCTGCAACCCATGTATGAGTTGTTAGTCAGTGAACGTGTTAAAATTTAATGAAAAAGAATTTACCACTGCATTCAGGAAAATACCTCATATTTGAGTTTACAAGAGCCATTAGAAATTATAAAGATGGTTGGTTGCGTCCTTTGGCCTTTAGCTTTTGAAATATACTCATAATGGCAAAAATGTATCATTCTAATTATTGTATCTGCCTATGTAACAAAAATAAGTACATAATTATTTAAACCAATATTCTCCAAATGGCTGCCAAAAGTTAGATATATATATTTTTTTGTAAATGTATTTTTTATTAAATTAGGTAACTGTTATATTACAATAATATGAACAACCTATTATACAATTTTAACATATACATTGAAAAATCAGGAAATGGGTTATGTTTAGATTTTGATCAATAATAATTGTTCATACATTACTGATCGAAATGGTGCAATTTAATGGCCACATAGTATCATTCATAAAGTTGAACATATTCGCTCTGCGAGTGACAGCAGCACCAACTAATCCATGAACTAAAGGGCGATATTTGCATATAATTTTTAACAGAATTCATATTTTTTTTGTATATTTATTTAAAACAAGTGAAAACATTAATTTTTTATTCCTTTATATTTTTATTACTTCATCTAAGTATAATCGATAAAAAAAATAATTAAAACTTAGTGAAAGATAGGTTAAGTAATCCAGTGTGCGCCATGCTCAACAGGACTAAGCCTGGTTGGGTAAACTACAAAGGATATTAAAAATTCCTTTGGCACAAATATTCAACTCAACGGCGGCTACAAATTAAAATTAATTTCATAAATACAGTGTCCCAAACCAGAATACCAATATAAAGTTACATTTTTTAAATGGGACACCCTAAATTTTCTTTTAATTTTAAGATCAATTCTTAAAAATAATCTTAGTTTAATAAAAAATTTCTACCTTTGATCATTTCCGATTTATTTGACATTTTTCGAAAATGCAGTGCTGTCAAAATTAATTAATTACTCTTGATTACAAAATAATTAGTTAAAGAATTTTTGGCAGTTCTCTACAAAATGTAAATTTTTATCAGAATCACTAAAATATTTGCAATTTGAAGTTCTATTACAGCAAAATGTTTTGTTAAATTACTGCGTTAATTTAAATGGCACACCCAGTATTTTATAGTACCAATATGAAGGAAATTTCATGTACTTTAAAAGTTTTATAAGGTTCCCTTTACTATAGCTACTATTCTTAAACCTATTATCAATCGTTTCTATGCATCAATAAATTTCAGTCATTTACTAATAATTTCATATTAAAACATACATTTATTTATACAGAAATTTTCTAATAAATTAAAAATTTGTAATAATTGTTCTAATTAACATCTAAATTAAAAAATATCTTTTATGATATACTGCAACGTTATACTGTGGTAACCAAAACCCTGTTTATAGTTGTTAAGTCATAACAGGCTAGCCCGGTAAACATTTTACCAACATTTAAAAAAAAAAACTTTATATTGGTATTCTGGTTTGGGAATCCTGTATATATGAAACTAATTTTAATTTTTAGCCGCCACTGAGTTAAATATTTGTGCCAAATAAATTTATAATATATTTTGTAGTGTACCCACCAGGCTCCGTCCCATTGAGTATGCCTGTGATCAAGTGCAGATTCTGTCTAGTCATAGTTTCATCCTATTTTCCTTGAATATGAACTGGGTATGGTATTAATTACTTTTCCTTTTTTATTGCAACTATCCATTTATTTCTTTGATCTAATTTACATTTTGCAACTGGACATTTATAATTTTGCTATTATTTTTACAATTTACAACACAGCAACTCTGGATGCTTAATTTATTTTATAAAAAAAATTAAGTGTACATCAAAATGATAAAATATTGCCCTAAAGTACTTGAATTTTTCATAGCTTGCACTAGTATCCCTTTTGCTCCCCCTACCATGACTTTGCATTTAGCGAATGTGGGAAATTGTTTCATAGTATCTGAATATGCGAATATTTTTTTAGTAGGCGGACATGTGATATACTGGAGCCAATTTGATATTTTCAAGCCTACCTTGTATTAGATAAGATATACTCAAACTTTTACAAAAAAAAATTAAGTTGAAGAAGCTGAAGATAAAAATTGCATATCTCACAACACATACTATAAAAAATGTCCTATAATATGCAAATGACACTACACATGTACTCATGAATTACAATTTTGTTTAATCAAAATCTAGTTTTTATAGAACTTTAAATTAATTATAATGCTTTTTTAAATAAAAAATGTACAATGTAGAATATAGTCATGCTTTTAAAAGAGGTAAGTAAGTTATCATTTACTTTCTTTATTTTGAAGAAAATAAAATCATTTTTTCTTTGAATTATTTTTTAGTATCACAGTTTAGAAATGGACTGCAATAGTTCTTACTTGAAATGTACAAAATAAGTAATTTTAAATATTTTTTGGAATTAAACTTTTGTTTAAATTATTGTAGAACAAATTACTTTTTATAAAAAAAATCATTATTAAAAGTCAAAACAATACAAAGTTAATATATTAAATACTAGTGATCGATTAATATAAATAAATATTAAATTAATAATTAACTAAGGCAATAATCTTTTGTACTGTAGTTATTCTATGATCCTTTTGGTTATTTTGTCTTCTTCAATCAACTAAACTCATTTCCTTCATATAAATTTTCACAAGTTTCTAATAATCTCAAAATTGGTGTTATGTTATAAGGGAACAGATCTCTAGACACTAACCTATTTATTTGCATTTTAAGGCGTATTAAAACAGACATTGTATCATCTAATTCACTACCTCGAGATGTACTACCCTCCCCACAACTACTTATAAATTTGGACCAATTTCTTTTAGTAAATTTTAGGAACCTTAATAAATACAATAAGAAACAGGTTTCATTACTAACCAAATAATCTAAAAGTATATCAGAATGATGGCTAACAACTTTTAGGAATTCTATGAAGGAGTGTATAGGATTTAGCATATTTATTAAATCAGGATAGACAGCATTTCTATAAGAAATTCCTATAGTTATATCCAATGTACAAACCATCGCTTCGATCATATAATCATCTTGATCATTAAAAAGGTGAATTAATATTTTAGATAATGGAGTTTCTGGATGAAAATCTAAACTATTTTTAATAAAAACATCAACTTTTTTCAACACATCCCTAATTGAACGTTCTATTAATTGCATATCTTGATAAAAATCAGAGTCATCTGATCCAACACTTGAATCAGAACTGTCTGATCTGGTTTCTTTTATAGTTACAGCTACTGATTTTAAAACTAATAAAACCATTTTTTGCAATAAAGTTTTATCAATGTTACTTTGCCCTGGTTGCAAACTTGCAATGGTCCCAACAAAACTATTTACAATAAAGCCTTCATTTCTCTTAAAGGGTAAACTATCCAACAGTCTATAATCTTTAACATATCTAACTAACAAATGTGCCAATTGGCAAGTATCATCTGGTAGCATATCTTGCAAAGCCAGTGTGCTACCATAGCAGAGTACTTCATTAAACAGGGACAATATTTGTTTCCAAACAATTGGTTGTAGTTGACTATTTAACATACCCACAAAGATTTCCAGGTGAGCATAGAATGGTTTAGTGTCTATGACACTCAGATTGGCTTTAACAGAAATAGTACTTTCCCATAAAGCTAAGAAAGTAAGCACACATGTCTGTGCTTGAACTGAGTTATTATGCAATATTAAGGTTTGGACCATGTGAATAAGTTCAGGCCACTTTGCTTCCAGACTCTTTATAATCAGACCCTTAATTGCTGAAGTATCATAGCTCTCAGGGTCAGTAAAAGGCACAGTAATACAATTTACATTTACTATTTCTTGAGAACTAGGACCTGCTGACTCTGAATTATCCCCTTCTTCCAAAACATGTAATTCAATATCTTTCCATTCAACAACCCGTTTCACAACCTCTAAAGCAAACTGAATTTTTACATAATCATAATTTTCACTAGAGAAAAAGTTAACTATAGTTTCTAACCACTCATTATTTATATTTGTCTTTGCTATAACTAAGAAACTACTTAAAACTTTAGCTGCCAAAAAATTGATGTATTTATCTCTTGTTTCGCAAAGTGATATTATCTGTTCAATTAAATTGTACTCATTACAAATTAATGCCTCACATATACTAACTATTTTCGAACAGATGAATCCTTTGTTATTTTGTTTTAAGTAAACATCAAATAGGATCTGCAGATTAGATAAAAACTGTAAGACTTTCTTGTTTGGCCATTCTGATAGGATAGCAGTTCTTACTATATTACAATCATTGATCTGTTGACCCTCAAAGGGTGTTCTCAAAATCGAGTCTGGTACACCACATAAACATTGTTTTATAAGGATGGTTTGAAAATCATCCAGTCCAAATTCATTATCATCAATATTAACTTCATTTAAGGAGTCTATTTTATCAGTAGCCAAACACGTTAAATGTACAGTTTTTATTAGTGAATCTGTAGATTTTGATGGAGATGTAATATCTGGTGCTGGTTTAATTGAAATATTTTCAGTACTACTAATATATGAAATCTCATTACTAAGAATCGTATCATTTTTTGAATCACTTATAGCACTTTCAAACTTATCACTAGTTCTGAATAAGGTATTTTCACTATGGAGTTGTAAGTTTACCGCATTTCTAGTAATATCTTCTTCATTTATGTGAGGAAGAGATAAATGGAGAGCTTGGAAATCAGTTGGCACTCCTTCATCAGCTAAGTTGTGGATAAAATCAGTTTCATCTGGATTATCTGGCTCATTTTCTATTCTTAACTTCTTTTTTAAGGGCTGTTCTGAACTCATTTTACTATTTTTCTCAGACCGAACCATTAGAACAGCAAAAAGTTTGACTGAGAAAATATGTACATAGCCCACTTCTTGTCAGTAATTGTTACCTAAAATAAATATAATCACATTTAAATAAAGTAAGAAATATTTGTAATAATTCAGGATGCAAGACTTTACAAATAAAATTTACTAGAATCAGACAGTTTATTTAGTTGGCTTAAGTTTCCATATAATTAGTTACACAACTAAGACTATCCCTCAAGGAGGTTAAATCAGGTGTTCTTCAAGCATCATACCTATCTTGGACAAATTTAATTTATAAAGTCATGCTCAATTTCATATGTTTGCAATGTTTTAAACTTGTTTGCCACCAGAAACAATGAAATTTAAATTTCTTTTGCATAAATGGAACATTCTTAGACACACTCAAGTGTGACCATTGTTTTCAATTTAGGTACCTAACTCAAAAAAACAAGTTTTATTAAGAGATGCAGCTATAGTTTTATCAAAACTACTGTAGTGTTATCAGATTTTTAATATTTTATGCCTATAAAATGCATTTAGATGAATTAAGTATGAATCTAGAGTATGATCAACATCTCGATTCATTATATTTTCATTGCAAGTTTAAAGATATTGTTATTGGATTTAATTAATAAACAAAAAAATTCTTTTGAACAAAATTATTGGTCTACATGTTTATCCTCTAGGTTCATAGGTTTGAGGCCACCTATAACTATGGGTCTTTTTTTATCTCTATGTAAATTAGATTATCAAACTAGCTGCCACAATACGTCGATTTCTTCATAAATTTCAAAACTTTTTGAAGTTAAAAATTTGCACTTTAAATTCATAAAAACTAACATAACTTCCCACCTATTTTTTTATAATCTTTATACTTGAGGTTTCACAATATTAAACACACAACAATGTAATTCATTTGAAAATCAGATATTAATTGACGACCGTGAATAACAAATAAATAAACAAAAAGAATATTTATTATATAAAGATGAAAAATGCCCAACTCACATTCATGTTTGTGTGTAACAAATAATTTCAGTAGCTGTTTCGCCTGAAGCTTTGTTGCAATAATTCCAATAAATTTTACTCAAACGATAATATTCTTGGATTAGATAGGTTCTATGTTGAATATTTAAGTCGTAAATTTTCTTAAAATGTTGAAAATAACAAAACATTTGTGAAAAACTAAAAATTAATTTGTAGACCTGCCATTTCACATCACTCACTGACACTCTGACAGCAGTACAATCAAGTTAGCAACTGAACTGAGAATACTGAGATCATTTAAATCAAAAATAATAAAAATTAATAAATTATTAAAATAAAATTGATAGAGTAAAAATTAAATTATCGATAAGTTAACTAGAATACATTGTCATTTGTACATTTATATCTAAAATTTCTAAATTTTTATAGTATTTAGAAGTTAATTTGACTATTTTCAAAATATTCAGTAGCAATTAGTAAAAGATGGTATGATGTTATGATACAGAATTGTCTTAAATAAAAAGAGATACAACATATATTCGTTCGTTTGTTCGTTCGTGTCAAAAGTTTGTTCTTTGCATCTGAATTACTAATTTTACAAATAAGATTAATTTTTACGTGTTCCCATCCCACAATTATATCGGATGTTGGTTTTTGTTTTCCAAAAAAAATTTTCAACCGTGATTTCAAGCATTTTTCAAGTAAAAACTATAGACATTTGACGTATTTTCTTTGTTAAACTGTCAAATAGAGCAGCTACAGAACACCGGAACAACCAATGAACTGGAGTCCCGTTCATCTGTTTGCGTTCAAGTGGTTCAAGTCGCGTTTCATTTCCATGGAGGAAGGATAATTAAGAGTTGCCGTTTCTTTGAAGAAATATGGCAACAGGTTTGCTTGCAGCGCCGCCGGTAAGGGATTTGTCCAACTATTTCTCAGTCGGTAATATAGATACCTGCATATTTTATTTTATTTAAAAATTAGCGGGATTTTGTTTGTAGCTCTACTTTAATTAGTATAACTAAAATTTTGCATTTTTATTGGCAATTTTTACAACACAAACAAGGTGCAAGATGTAACAAAATGCCAATCAAAATATAAAATTTTATGACCCATAATTTTAGGAAGGGTAAAATAATTTAATATAAAATAATTGTATTATCTATTATATCATTAAAACTAATTTATAATAAATTTTCTAAATAAACAATATTTTAATAAAACAACTAAAACTTTCTGTAAACTTGGGTAGGTAACAAAACACATTAAGGAGAACCATCCATATAATCTGAAACAGAAAAAATTCAAAGTAGTATTTTAACTTCATATTATTTTGAATCTCTTTTTTCTTTTAGACATTGTCACAGTTTTATACTTTCATTATAATATTTTATAATTAATAATGGTAGTCCCTTCATCTTTTAATTAGATGTAGTACTTTAAAAAAAACAGATGTCTGCGGGATCAAGCTTTGAGGTCCTTCTTTGATTCGCAAATTTTACTTTGCTGTTTTCTAATTATAAAATAGAGTTTATTCTCCCACTCACTGGATTGATTTAAAAATCCAAGAGCTAATTATTGTTTTTTAGGTAATAATTATATTTCATTGGATGAAATTTTAATCGAATGTAACTTTCTTTTCACTGGTAATTTGTTCGACGGTATGATAACAATATTACTTTAGTATTACTCTTTACTGTTAATTTAGCTTTCAAGGGTACCAAAGGTAAAGCCAGTTTACAGTCTTGTAACCTATAAATGGTTTTTCGCAAGTGGAATGATGAAGTTTATGCGGCATCATTTAGTTCCTTGCTTAATATCGGAAGGAAATAAAAAAAATATGTTCTTAAAATGTACAGCATAAATTGGACAGTAAATTGTACTATTTACCTTTATACAAACAACGCTATTACAATTAGATATTATGAATTTATTACGAACAGGACCTCCTAAACACATGTTAAAACATCAAAATATCTTTGCTTAATTTTAAATTTAACATGTTTAACTAAAACTAAAATTAAATAAAAGTAAAAGTACTTACCACGTTTTATTCAGCAACCATAACCATATTGTTTTGATCAGTTTTGTTATAGAGAAAGTAAAAGTTAAAAAGTCTTTTGGTAGGTAGAGAGGGGGTAAACGTCAAACCACGTCGGGCGGCTCCGAGAATTTCACAGTAATGTTTACCTGCCAGTGTCGTTTCATAGAATAAGTAATTTTAAATTGTTATCGGCGGAACCGGACAATCGCATGTATTTATGGATTATAAATAATTATTAAACATGTATTATAATATTCAAATTATAATTTTACAAAATTTCAACAGCTATTCACAATTTATTAAACTATTTACTCGAAATTGTTATTAACATCTATAAAATAATTTTGTACGCCAATGTATCGTGTCCACTTCGGTGAGATCCGCTGACAACCTGTCAAGTTATGTGTATAAAGTGGGAGAACTGGCAAAAGCATTTCCAACTTTTACTTCTGTTCTATTGTATCGGTTCGAACGGGTGACAATCCCAAAGTCAGATTTACATTGTACAAATAATTGATTAATTCATGTTTTTCAAATAATTGTAGTATTTATATAAATATATAATTTTAAAACAATACTTACCGTGTATTACTTTTGTTATTAAGCGAAATATATTTGAATTATTCAATTATTCAGTGTACTTTAAATTTAAATATCATTTTATTATTGTAAAACGGACTGATATGCGCGGATGTGTTGCGCACTAACCTGTTGATATAACGCGCATATGTTATAAGCCCCCCTGTTCATTTCATCATTTCGTACAAACTACAAACGTCACTTTTCTCTCCCACAAAAAATATGTAGAAAGCACCATATGAACGTAGAAATCAGTTTTGATATTAATTAGGGAATATCTAATTGATATAGGAGTCTTAAAAAATATTTTTATTTGTAGAATGGAGTATCAAAATACAATATGCTTATTAATATACTGATAGGAGAAGTACCTGCCAGCTAAATTAAAAAAAGTAATTGTTAAAAAATACAAAAGTGATAACATAAGTGATCTAGAGATATAAAAACAAAAAACTAATGGATTGGATGTCCCATAATCATTCCCGTTCCATTTCGAGTCGTCTGGATTTAGCAAGAGCAAGTAATGATTATCAGATTTGAGTATATTTAGTCAATGATATCAAGTAAATTTTCAGCTCAAGCCACTGAATTTGTTCCTAGGGTTATTAGTTCCAGTACGTCTGCCTCTCCAAATTTTTTCAATAATTATTCCAGTACTTCAACCCTACATCCTATTACCAAAAAATTGGAAGATGGGAACCTACCTGTTCATGTTGCTTCTGAACCATCTTCGTCATCATCACCTCCTCTAGTAAACAATACATCGCTCGTAAATAGTTCACCTGTTCAGGATAAAGTAGGATCTAGTCCCTCTTTGCCAGCTTACCAAGAAAATGTTGGAGGTACTACTTATTTCTATCAACTTCAGACAACTCCAGAGAACTGTCAGCCAACTGAGGTTCCCGTAAGTGCATACTAAAACAATTTAGTAAGAATATTTTCTTCAGTAGCATACATTTTATTTGATAGTCCTAAGATCAGTTTGATTAATATCCCCAAGTAAGTATACTTATCATTAAGCATCAATTACCTACATAGGTACTACAAAAAAATGTAGGGTATTATATTGTATGACAAGAGATCATGTTAAGATTTGTCCCTACGTATTTAATGTAAAAAATTATAAAGTAGGCCATCACCAACAAAGACATACCATTCACTTTCTTTTTAAATTGGAATTTATATACCATTTGCTCTATAAAATATAGTAGGACTGATCCTGTCAAAGTTCTTCATCAACAATACAAAAATGTTATATATAGTTGTTCATTTCTACAATAGGTAGGTAGGTAGGTAATCGCCTTTAATATTATAATGATATCTAAATCTCTGTAATTTGAGTGTTAAAATACCTTGTAATCTTTTCTATTTATGATTCACTCTATTTGCTTTTGAAATTAATTTCAATGATCAACTCGTTCTCTTGTAATAGAACATAACAGCACATCATCTTTTAGAACATTCCAAGAGGAATCATAAGGAGTTTTAAAAACAATACCCATATCCCATGTGATCTGATTAAACCACTAAACTTCTTACCAGTGGCATGCTACACGATCCTGCCGAGATAATCAAAAATAGCATAGCTCTGCAATATTTAGGGGCACTACAACTCATGCACATTACAGAGGTTTTTGAGAAAATCCAGCGAAAATTGCATATTTGCATTATTGGTTGCCTATATTATCAGAACTGGTTCGTCTTCTCTGCCCACCTGTTTTTTATTACCATATTTTCTTATCTTGAACTTGTTTGCTCTAAAATTAATTTTAACAAAGCTGTAGTGAAAATATTCTGGAATTTGACTAAGGCATTTGATTGTGGCAATCATACAGTATTGTTGCAAAGATGAAGAGCTGATAAAATCAAACCTTTTAGAATGAAAGCAATTGGTAAGAACTATTAAAGACTCAAATTTTAGATATAAGTTGGGGAGTCCCTCATGGTTCTGTGTTGAGTTCCATTTTATTCCTTTATATAAATGATTAATTCAACTTAACATTGCAAGTACTTTCACTCTATTTGTTAATGACACTATGATTTTATGGCACAGCAATGACACCTGCGTTATTTAGAACACCATATCTTGTGACATTAGGAAAATAAAACATGGTGTGACACCAACTTTTTGTGTCTAAATACAAAAAAAAATAGAAAGTTATAACATTGAATATATTGATCCAATAACATTTCTGGTCATTAATTTAGACAATAATTAAAATTGCTAAACAAAAAACTTTCTTCTGGATATTTTTGCAGTCAGAACTGTGGCAAAAGAAATAGGTTTTCTCGGTACGAACCCTATAATTAGCGCTCTCTATGAGAGGCATATATAAAAACAAATTTATGCGATGTGTCAGCTTCCAAAACATATTCCTACAAAATTTCATTACAATGTTGCCAGTAGTTTTGACATAATCGTAAAAAATACCCTGTATCTTGAAAACGGATGTCGTTACAAACATTTTTTACTTAGCAAACCTAACTTATTTTGCTAACAACGGGACCACTTTTTTTTAAAATACCTACTGATAACATCCGTTTGGTCACATGGGATATGGATATTCATACATTATGTATCTGAAATTGAGCAAAAATGAATCATTTAACAGTGATAACGTCAGGAAGCAAGGCATTTAAATTATCAGCTAGATGATTTTTTTTCCACGAATCTAATGACATTTATGTTTATATGGATTGATTATAAATGTCTTTAGTTTCGAGATTTTTTTATATCATATGATTTAACAAAACACCTGTAAATCTTAAAAATTTATTTTAGAGCATATAAGTATATAAAAATATTAATTTATATACACCATGAAATGTGTCTAACCAAAGCATAGCTCAAGCCCGATTAAAAAAAAATGAACAGCATAATATAGTATATGAGTCATGCCTGTGATATATATCTCTGAATGAAATCCAGACTTATAAAAAAAATATGAATACTGATAAGCTCCATAATTCATAATTTTATAGATGGCCTGTCTTAGAAACACTTTTGGAACGATCTGTTTTATATTATTTACAAAGGTGGACTAAATGTAAATTATAATAATAGAAATAAAGAAAATAAAATAAAGACTCACAGCCGTATGCATAGTCGATCGCCAGCGACTCGCCAGAGATTCATTTCCGCCGGCGAAAGCCCAAAAAGCTGGCGACTCGCCGGAGATTGTCACTGGAATGTCATTTCACGCAAGTTTTCATGTTCTTTTATAGGGAGAAATTTGATATTCGTTCATTATTATAAAAGAAAATAAAAACTTGCGTGAAATGACATTCCAGTGACAATCTCCGGCGAGACGCCACCTTTTTGGGCTTTCGCCGGCGGATCGCCAGCGAAACGCCGAAATGAATCTCTGGCGAGTCGCTGGCGATTGACTATGCATACGGCTGTCAAAGTTATATATGTTACAATAATGTGAGCGGCCTTTTCTCTCTGTAGAACTACTTTGGTTAATTCATTGAATTACATAAAAAAAAATTTTTTTTTCACCCTACCTTTGATTTTGCTTATTAAGGATCATTCTTGGACCCGTTTGGTCCTTATTTGGACTCGTCAGCAAGATATTGACATCTCGATTTCAAGCTCTAATGAAATCTGCAAAGGCTTTAAATTAACTCGCCTACATGTATGAAGGTTTCGAGAATATAATAAGTTTCAAAGTAAAAATGGTAATTTCATCTGCACTTATACTAAGCAAAATTAAAGGTCACTGGTAGTACTTAGTTCAAAGACTAGGTAGAATAAAAGCCAAGCACGATTCAAATTAATTTTCCTGTTCTGTGTACACAGGCAAGATACATTAGTGTTGTGATACCAATAATTATTGATTCAATTATTATAGAATTTTGAACTAATAGAGGTAAAGTTCAGCTTAAATATATTATTCCTAGTGTCAAGTTAAGATTTCCATGCCGCTTTAAAAAATCTTAACTTGTTATCATGGGTATCTTTGTCACTGAAATTATGACATTCGGAATTCTATTTTTGAGTTCCAGTTTAATAAAATAGTAAGAGATTTGTTACAATTTTAATAACAACGGCAACACTGAGCATACTTACACACGTTATAAAATGAATCACTAATAAATATTTCAGGTGTCTGCCCCCCCTTCTCCTACTTCCTAGAAACAAGATCTTCTTTCAGAGCTTCAGTGACAGGGTCAGTTGACTTATAAAAATAGAGGTTTCAGGTATTAGCATTTCTATTTTCAATATTGTATTAATTTAAACATTAAAAGTAATTTGGTTACTTATTTATGACCTGCAAATAATTAAAAAAAAAAAAACTTTGTTCCAAATTCAATGATAGAATGGTTTGTTTTTGTTAAAGATCAACGGTCATTGGAACACAAATTATGTCACATTAATTTAGCATATTATATAGGGAGAGTATTATTGTTAAAGGGTAACTTAGGAGTATAGTTTCGTAAATGAAATGGATTGGTTTATTTTTATGAGTCTTTCAAAATATGTCTTCTTTTTTCAAAAACAATGGGAACCTACTTATAAACTTGTCTTGCCCAAGACCAGCATTGAACGAAAATCGAAGGTCAGTGAAAACATATCAATTTAGAGGTGATAGTAGTAAATCTGATTTGTTATTGTACGTGGCTAGAGATCTTGGGCACATTCACTATAACTTCGATTTCCTTCAAGGATGGTCTTGGCCGAGACCGATTTATAATTGTTGACCTAAGATAATATATTTTTCTTTTCTGGCATGCAGATATAATGGCTCTGTCAAAAAATAATGCTGAACGAAATAGTGCCTGATCAAAATAGCCCGTATCAAAAGAGCATCAGTCAAAACAACCCAACCCAAACAAAATGGCTGTATCACGAAATACTGTTAAATGAAATAGTGTGTTTCAAAATATGGCTATTATTTTTACATAAATTGATTAAAAAAAAAATTAATTTGCCTTACCTGCGCGGTTTGAAGCCATTTAAAATTAAGTATTCTAATAAACTCTATAATAACACCAGTATACAAAGCTGGAGACATGCAAAATAAAGAAAATTATCGACCAATTGCAATAACCAGCACAATAAATAAGCTGCTAGAAAAATGTATAAAACTAAGACTTAACAACCATCTAGAAGAAAATAATGTATTATCCGAAACACAGTTTGGGTTTCGTAGTAAGATGAGCACTGAAGATGCCATCCTACACCTGACTGAAAATATAACAAAAAATTTCAATGATGTTTACAAAACCATTGGTATCTTTATTGACCTTGCAAGGGCCTTTGACACTGTGGCGCACCCAATTCTGCTAAAAAAAACTTGAGAATATTGGAATTAGAGGAGCTGAATGGAAACTATTTGATTCATACCTCAATGGTCGAACACAACAAACAAAAATCGGTAACAATGTAAGCTTTAAGAAAAAAGTAGAATTGGGTCTGCCTCAGGGCACGGTCCTTGCACCTCTATTATTTTCAATTTACATTAACAACCTTACAAAGATATTGCCAGAAAAAAATGGCCTCAATATCTGTTATGCAGATGACTCAGTTATATTAATTAAAGCTAAAACATGGACAGATACATATCGACTAGCAGAAAAATATATAACATTAGTTAAATTCTGGATGGATCAAAACCTTCTAACCCTAAATGAAAGCAAAACATATTTTGTACCATTTTCAATAAGTAATAATAATATTGATATCCAACCTGATATTAAAATACATACATACCAATGCTTTAATAAGGATACAATATGCAACTGCACAAAAACTATAAACTCAGCATCAAATATAAAATATCTAGGTGTTTATATTGACCAAAATCTTAAATATGATATTCATGTTCAATACATAACTAAGAAAATTAGGAAAACAATATATAAGTTTTACCAATTAAGGGAATTTATGACAAAAAAACTGCTAAAAACTATATATCAAGCTTTAGTTGAATCTAGCATAAACTATGGTTTAAAAATTTGGGGAAGTACGTGTGGTAATATCTTACAGAATTTAACACTAACACAAAAATATATTCTCAAGATAATAAATAAACCAAAAAGATATTCATCTGAAAGCTTATTCACTGAGAGTGGAGCTCTATCAATAAGAGAACTCTACGTAAAAAGCACTATATGAAATTTAAAAATACTTATAAAAATTATATTCAACATAATATTAACACTAGGTCCATCACCCAAGATCATGTCTATACAAACAGGGTTGAATTCCTTGCCTGCCAGAGGCATGTATCTTTTACTGGACCAAGACTCTTTAACATGTTACCGTCATCAAAAATATAAATATAATAAATAGAAAAATGTTTAATGTAAAAGCTTCTCACTGGATCAAAGAAAACAGTGAGACAATAATTACAAAGTTGCCTTTTTTAAAGTAAATTGTTTTAAAGTTATAAATTTAAAAAAAGAAAAGTAATATCTATATCTATATAAATTATCAGTTATCTGGATGGTTAGTATTTCATCTTTGGTGTCACTCAGCTGGCGGAGACTGACGCATCAGCCTATAATTGGGTTCTGACAAGATTATTTTTATTTATTCTATAATTATTAGAAAATTATTTTGTATTTTATATGTATTATTATGTTAAATTGATAGGTAAGTATCCCAATGACTGTGGATGTACTCTCGACAAGTCACTCGTGACTTAGAGAATCCATTCCAAACAATGTTCTGTTAATGTACTACTTAAATTATGTAAAATAAACGATTTTGAATTTGAAACACGAGCGCTCACTCAGGTTAGATAAATTGGTTATTTTTTTATTTTATTATTTTATTTTTAGTTATTTACGGACAAGCCCATTTCAATTGCAAAATACAATTTTAATAATTAATTAAAATATCACAAATATTTATGGTGCTGTAGCACAAAGACATACCAAGTCATACAGACTAGGAACATTTAAAATAACAAATTATGTTAGTCGAAGTTTTAAAAAGAGAAAATACACAGTAAAACATTAGCTTTAAAGCTCAGTATTAAGTAATTGAGTTTTGAATGATGAAAGGGTAATATTAAACAGTCTGAGATCATTGTGTTAGCTAATCTAAGCATTCTTGGAAGGCAGCTGTTAAAAGCTTTGTTTGATCTATAAAAAGCTACATAACATGTTTGCAGTTGCCTATTTGAACAGGTTTGAACCAGAATAATCATTTTTTTAAGAAGTTCAGCACAATTACATCTTCTATTTATAATGACAAATAGCAAATAGCCTAGTTTCCAAGGAGGGGATGTTCAGAAACTGTTCCATGAAATCATATTCACAATAAACACCCAATTTAAAAGCTATATGTCTGAGAAAGTTGTGCTAAACACTGTCTACTATATATTATATAGTGTGGAGACCAAACAGAAGAGCAAGGTGGGATCTGATTTGCGAACAATATTTGTGTCATTAAAATCATGAGTCAATCTTTTGATAAAACCCGACATTTTCATGAATTTGTGGACAGTAGCAGATGTGTTGATTAAAGCTTAAAATGGCATCAAGAATAATTCCAAGGTCTTTAATTTGATAAACAAGAGTAAGAGTATGCCGATTTAAGTTGTAGTCAAATGTAGTTGGAGGTAAGTGGGAATAATAAAAATGCATGATTTGGCATTTATTTTAAGTCCATGCCATTTAAAGAACACCATTCTGATAAATTGTCGAGGTCAGACTGAAGTCTATGGGCATCATGGATTTTAACAATTTGGAAAATTTTTTAGTCATCTGCAAATATTAAAGCATTGCTGTTACGGAAACAATAAATTTTATAATTAATAAAAAGTTAAATAGTAAGATATGACCCCTGAGGAATACCTGAGGTTACTTGAAATAAGTTAGAATAGTGGTGATTACCAATCCATTGTAGTAATGCCCCATCCATACCATATTTGTTAAGCTCTTGAAGTAAGAGAGTATGGTTGACCCTGTCAAAAGCCTTGGAAATTTCAGTATAGACACAATCGATTTGTAAACCTTTTTCCAAGTCTACTGAAAAGAAGTCGATATAAGTTACTAAATTTAACTCTCTTGAATTTCCAGCACAAAAACTATTTTGTTTTTCAGTTATGATGCCGGAGCAATCATAAGTGAGGTTATCAGTTATAATATTTTCAAACAATTTAGGTATTGTGCTGAGAATTGAGATGGGTTGATAATTTTTGATTTTGCTACCTGATTTGTATATTGGTATGACATAAGAAAGTTTCCAATAATCGGGAAACTCTCCTGTGTCGATTGATTTATTGAAAATATGAAAGATAGGGCGAGACAGTATGATGCTGCAATTTCTTAGTAGGATAGGAGAAATAATGTCAGGACCTGGCCCTTTTTTGTTTAAAGGTTTGACAATTTATCGTAAATGGTCGAAATTGGGATGTAGTATGATATTCAATTTGGTTATCATTTAAATTTAGGATGTGTGGTGTAAACTGAAGAAAAATACCTTCAAACAGATTTGCTACTTCACATTACTGCAACTTGCAAAAGAGTCCTCCAAATTAATTTTATCTGTTATCTGTTATTTGCTTTTTTACTATTTACAAAATTCCAAAAGGCCCTAAAATTAGTCTTAACCGAGGTTTCAACGGAATATAATATATAATTTGAATAGTATTCTCTTGATAGAAGCTTGCATTGTTCTCTTAGCTGGCTAAATATTTCATAATGTTGGGGGAGTCCTGTTATGTTTGTAAATCCTGTGAGCAACCTTTTTATCGTCAACCAAGCTCATAAGCTGTGAGTAATACCAGTGTGAACATTTTTTTATAGATACTTTCTTTAAGGGAACAAATAACTCAATTACAAAAAACAGAGAGTCATTAAAAATGAATTTATGTATTTTTTTATTGCGAATCTAACCGCTTTGACTACAGGCCGCACAGGTTAGTCGTTTTTTAAATAATTTTATGTCACTTTTTTGGCTCTACTTATCTGATGCTATCTTAAAAAATGCTATTTAGTTCGGGCGCTGTTTTGACGCTCTTTTGATACGCACTATTTCGTTGAGGCGCTCTTTTGATACTCGCTATTTCGTGGAAGTGCATCCAATCGGCGCTACGGTAGAATACGCCATGATATATTCAGATTATAATAACACTGCATGCCATAACCATTATTTCAAACTTTAAATATTTATTATTTATAACTATCAATAAATAAAATATTTAAGATGTTTGGTTTAAAAAATAATTGTTCTTTTTGATGTAATTTTACCTTACCATACCCGTTGAGATGCACGCCTCTCGGCTAAAACTGTGATAGCGCCGCTTCGGTTATGTTACTCTTAATATATGGCTATGCCAGATAGACAAAAATTAAATAAGTAAGGTGTATCAGTTGCTGGCTAAATAAAACATTTGTTTCAGAGTGGTTCTCTGCCGACTGAGTACAATGTCTATACAGGAAAAAAGGATCCATCCTTTTTTCTCTCTGAAGATCTTCGCAACGATATTCTAAATAGAAATGTGTTAACCTTACTGCAGCCTGACCCCCAGCAATACCCAGATCTTCCTCAAGAAGTAGACAGCTACCATGAGTTGTTTCCTCTTGAACCCATATCAACTACTTTGCATAAAGCCCATCTTGGTTATCAAGCTACAATGTACAAAGCCACACACATTAAAACAGGCATTCATTATTGTTTAAGAAGAATTCATGGTTTTAGGTTTGTTTTTGTTATATTTAAATGATTTTTATAAATATTGTCTTTTCAAATCCATTATTAAGCACTACAAAAATTTATGAAAATTTAATAAAGTGCACATATAAATAATAAAGGGCATGTTCACCGCCGTCAAACAGTTTCATTTGGTTAGGTAGGAATCATACTTTTCTATGTTTCCTGTAAACAGTTGTTAGGATCGTGAACAGGTGGAAAATTAATCCTAACATTACTTCACAAATTTTATGTACCTAATAATTGAAAATAGTGTATCTAATAATTCAAAAAATGTAATAATGATAATATGATCATTTAATATTTCAAATATTTTGAGTCCCTTTTATTCATTTTCTATTTCTAAAATCGCGTTGAGTTAACAAATAAGTAAAAAATTCGACTTTTGAATATAACATACAAAATCTGTCAAACGTCAAATTTCTTTGATTGTTAAGCATAAAATAATTTGCGCTTTTGTTTTCAACATTTTCACAAAAGCTGTTGATAATTTGCTTATTCACCTTCAATGATTTGTAATCTTATGAAACCATGTGATGATGGTGAACCTGCCCAATAATGGCGTTTTCTCTATCCAAAATCCAGAATATATTATTTTTTTTTTTATCAAAGGTTTAACAAATCAGATAATTAAAAAAATATTTAACTTTTTATATCTAAATTTTTTTTAGAAAAATATTTTTTTTTTCAAGCTAAACCCAATAAACTCATTTATAGATATACCTAGTAGTAGCTTGACTGTAGAGTTTTTCAGTTTAGCAGCCACTAACATTCATCATTAGGTTTGTTCCAACACCTCATTAGATTAGTAGGATCCCAAATCATATACTGCGCAGAATCCTGGTGCCAATGACTGATTTTGGATCGTTGTTGGAACAAACCTTCTGATTGTTTAATAATCATGGTTCTGGAATTAGCTTAATTGATATGTTGCATGTGTTTAATGTACAAAAATCATAGTAGATTTATGTAGCATACATTTTACTCTTTTAGGTTATCTAATACCAAATGCATGGCATTTGTTGAGCTATGGCGAAAACTTACTCATTCCAATATTGTTCAATTGAAAGAAGTGTTTACGACGAAGGCTTTTGGTGATAATTCCATGATTTTCGTTTACGACTATCATCCTGGATCTGAAACTTTACTAAACAAACATTTCTCTCCTGACCAACCGGGTTATTGTGATCCTTTTTTAAACGATAGCTCAACGCCAAGACCCTATAGTTATCAAAAGAACAATTTGTTGAGGCACACTCAAAACAATAAACTTCCTGAACCACTCATTTGGAACTATATCATTCAGTTGACATCTGCATTAAGGGTTATCCACTCGTCCGCACTAGCTTGTAGAAGTTTGGATCCGACCAAAATTATTATTAATTCTCGCAACAGGTAATGTAATAGATTTTAATTTTCAATAATGTATTTTCTTCCAATTTTATAATATATTTGTTTTCAAACTATGAAATCCACAATTGTTTTAAAAATAAAATTATCCAAAATGTTTAATGAAGATACACACATCTCCGAAAGTTTTGGCCCCCCCCCTTGGTAACTTTTACCGCGGTCGATGTAAGGTGACTATTTTTTGTGTATACATTCTTTATTATCTTATTATACACAAACACAACAGGTTGTAAACAAAAAACTGTTTTCCTCCGAAAATATGCACCATTTGAAAAGAAATCAGTTCTAAGCTGACATATAGAATTAAATTATCAAGTAAATTTGTCATAAAATACCAGGTCATCCGATTTCTCAGTTTGTCCGGGCAAGAATAGTGGCCTTACATCAAGAGGATTTGTCAAATCACCAGATTGCGGGCCATCTGAATATTTCACTGACTTCGGTAAGACACATAGTTGCCTTTTCCCAGGAAACGGGCAGTGTTGTGTGAAGGACAGTGACTGGTCAACCCAGAGTGACATCAGAGAGAGAGAACCAGTATATGGCAAATTTTACCCGAGGGAACCGAAGTATAACGGTAACAACCCTTCAAGTAATTTTTTGCGAAAGAACCATAAGAAAAAGATTGCATTCCTCAAATCTGCACACAGAGCTGCACGTCGCCAATTGGCTCAAGCGCACAGGAACTGGCCTTTTACCACAATGGCGCAACGTCCTTTTTTCGGACGAGTCAGGATTTGACCTACAGAGTGATAGCCGTCGGGAAAGGGTCTGGAGGAGTCCAGGCAGGCAGATACGACTTACTTTGGCAAGAGGTATTATTCTCTATCAAGGCGGATCAATGTTTTGGTAGGTATATTGTTTGGTCACCATACCCCACTTATTTTGATTGAGAGAACTATGACAGGTATTATATACGCTGAAAACATTATTCAACCAATCATTCAGCCTTTGCACAACGAATTTGGAAACAATTTTATTTTTCAAGATGAAAATGCCAGATCGCATCACACACAAAGAGTACAAAACATGCTGCAGGAAGGAAATATCCAAATAATTAACTGGTCCCCAAATTCACTAGACATGAATCCCATTGAATATGTATGGGATTATCTTGGCAGAGCAATATCCAATCGAGAAAACCCTCTTTAACCCTCCAGGACTTGACTGTAGCCGTTCAAGAAGAGTGGGACAATTTGTCTGATCATTTTATTTATAACCAGATGCTACGACGCGTTGACCAATTGATTTAAAGGAGGGGCGGTAATAAAGGCTATTAACTTGTTTTTATTAAATTTTTCCCAAATAAAATTTTCTTACTTAGAATTTTTAGAATTTTTTTTTTTAATTACCTTTACTTTGCATTATTCGGAAAGCAAATTACAAAGGTTGTGTATCACATAGTTTGGTATTAAAACAAAGAATAAGATTCGCTTTATTTTCAAAATTCAATTTGATTATTTTTAAAAATACCTTGGGGGGGCCAAGACTTTTGGAGATGTGAGTATATATTTGATTATTATAAGCTTCATTTGAGATTTTGATTTTTAGTAATATACAGGGTGTTTCATAATATATGCGCAGGACTTCAGGACATGATAACTCGTCCAAAAATATGAAAACACGTTTCTATTAACTTACCCTCTAAAATGCACCATTTTCGAGATACAGGGTTTTGAAATTGAAAAAAAAAATTATTTGCAACTGGAAAAAGTACGGTTTTGAGATACCCATTTGAACCGCCAATGTTTTCTACACAAAAAAGGTACTCTAGGTCATACGCTCTAAAGTCGACCGTTTTCGAGAAAAATCAAATTTTAATGTTGAAATACATGGTCATACATACTTGATTAAACAAAATTTGATTTTTCTCGAAAACGGTCGACTTTAGAGCGTATGACCAAGAGTACCTTTTTTGTGTAGAAAACATTGGCGGTTCAAATGGGCGTCTCAAAACCGTACTTTTTCCAGTGGCGTAGAATTTTTTTTTTCAATTTCCACACCTTGTATCTCGAAAATGGTGCATTTTAGAGGAAAAGTTAATAGAAACGTTTTTTCATATTTTTGGACGAGCTATCACGTCCTGAAGTCCTGCGCATATATTATGAAACACCCTGTATATAAGCATTAATTTTAAAATAATATTTTTTTATTATATTCAAAAAAAATTGGAAGAAATTTTTTGAATAAATATCGCCTATCTAAAGCACACATATTGTAACTCCAAATTTAATGTTATAACGATCTTGATACCAATTCGCATTTTAGCCTTGTTTTTTGGGCACAAACATTGTAGCTCCAACACTCACCAAACTACAATAAATTCAAATTTAAAACTGATAATTAAGGCATTTAATTACACTTTCTAGTACACCTCACTGAAGTGTAAATTTGTGATTGTCACAAAATGGGTTTTTGGAGATACGATAAGTGTGCTTTAGACCGACGATATGTGAAAACTGAAATGAAAACGATAAGTTTAAATTATTAATATTTAATTTCATTAACAGAATTGTCCAATTTCAGTTTATTTTAACAATATTTTATTTAATTTCTTAGGTTACGATTAAGTTGTTTAGGCGTCATGGATGTAGTACTTCAAGAAAACAATACGACCATTAACCATATAACTCTAGTCCAACACTATCAACAGGAAGACCTTACGGCTCTTGGAAAGTTGGTGTTGGCTTTAGCTTGTAAATCAACCATGGCTGTGCAACGGGAAAACATATCTACTGCTTTAGGTAAAATTCTCTAAAACAAAATAATAAGTAAAAAAAAGGAAAATAATTCCATGTGACCAAAACGTAAAATATAATAAACGAAACTCAAAGCCATGTCACAAAATACGAGCGACCGTTTTCATTCGAAAAATAAAAACAACTACTCTTTTGCCAATGATTCATCAAAAAAAAAAAAAAAAATATGTGATGAGAGGTTTTTACTCCTGAAGAGGAATTTGAAGGATTTAAAATACTTGTTTAGGAGAGGTACCTTGCCCAGAGTAGGAAAAATGTTATTGGTTTCATCAGATGCAGAAGTATATACAGAGTGTCCCATTAGTGCGTAATTGTTCAATATTACAGTTTGTGTTATAGACACACAAATTTCAACAATCGATCAATTAAGCACTTCTGGTAAATGTGTTAGTGGATAACATGTACGTATCGTTGGATAGGTAAATTTATAAGGAATTTTATTCTAAAATAATATACAGGGTGTTGCGTTTGCAAAAAAATTGAACTTAAAGTTAGCCATATTTAAGACATGTTTCAAAACACTATATAAAATAATTAAGTTCTATCACCACTATTCGTTAGCTTAGTATCTTATGAGTATGTATTTTAAACAATGATTGCCAGGCAAGACTGCAACACCCTATATACCTCAAAATATTTTTAAAATACGTATTTTTTAAATCCGTTCAACTTTTATTTGAAACTTGTATGTGTGTCTATAACACAAGTTGAAATAATGAACAATTAAGCACTAATGGGACACCCTGTATAGTACTTATTTTTTCGCAGAATTAGAAGATATGATAGTGGGATATTAGCGGAACTGAGAGCATAGCGATAGCCGGGATATTGTAGTTGCCACATGTTGGCTGTGAAAACACGGCTATGCCTAATATAAAATAATAAGTACCTACTGTATTTTAAAGGGGTATATTTTGAGAAGTAATAAAATCACTTAATATTTGTTTTGCATTTTACACGAACTTTAGCAGTTCTCGTATTGATATTTTTTTCTATTAATTTTTATTTAGATATTGTCAGTCGTTCATATACGACGGATCTTCGCAATCTTATCATGTATCTTTTGGCAACGCAACAAAGACGCAGCGTTACCGACCTTATGCCAATGATTGGTGCTCGATTTTATACTCAACTTGATAACCTCCATAACCACATTGAGACGCTCGATCATGAACTCTCGAAAGAAGTACAAAATGGCCGCCTTTTTAGAATCATGACTAAACTAGCAACAATCAACGAACGACCAGATTTTAATATGGAAAGTACCTGGGCAGAAACGGGAGATAGGTAAGTAAATCATTCAAAATATATTAATCAGTTCTTCGGCATACTAATATCAAGTATATCTTTTATCTTTATCGGTTGTAAGCAGGTAGGGTTAGGTTTGGCCCAGAACACTGCGGCCTCTTGGGTCCCCTGCTTTCCCCGTATTCAGGTATTATCTTTCAAATAGTCCTGTGTCTTTGGTTAGTTTTAATAGGTTCCCTACCAAGTGTTCCTGGGCCGTTCTTTCCGGTTCTAGGCCGAAAAGGATAAAACGTCGCCCAGTAAGAGCTTCGCATTCGAAGATCACATGGTATGAGGTTTCTTCCTCTTCCATGCAAAGTCTACACGACTTATAAGTCTCTCGTTGAGAGGAATGTTTTTAAAAAGAATTTTTTATTACTATTGCTTGAATAAAAACCCAAAATAAATTATATTTAATATTTAATGATAATGTTATCGTTACAAGCTATGACTGACTTTATTTTATTAAAATGTTACTATGAGAAAAAATTAGAGTCAGCAATTCACACACACTTCACATAGGTTCAGTAACACTGCCGGCAACCCGATACCGTTTTCCTGTAAAAGGTATATGGGGTCATCGATCATAACTCACGTAGTGGGATCATTGTGTAATCCCATTACATGAAGGTGTTTCAGCAAGCAGTGCCCCATTAGTAATCCCACAATGGTGGATATCTGAGGCCTTGCGAGTTGTATTGCCTCAGTAGGCATGCATGGGTTTGGTCCCCTTAGCATGAGCTTACTGATTCTGTTCCCTCTTATCTGTTTCCAGTGAATTTGGTGTTTTGTGGTTATCCACCTGTTCACTGCCTGTCGAGCAGAGGTTTTGCTTATCCCAAATACAGGTTCGGGTCCTGTGAATGGTAGATCTGATCCCTCTTTGGCGAGTTCATCAGCCTTTTCATTTCCTTGGATACCTTTGTGCCCTGGTACCCACGCTAGTTTTACCTTGTTGTGGGTTGTCAGATCATTTAGTATTCCAAGGCAGTTCCAGACAAGCTTTGACTTGATTCTGTTTGAATCAAGAGCCTTTAAAGCTGCTTGGCTATCTGAGAGAATTAGGATGGTTTGTTTTTGTACTTCCTTCTTAAATTCTCTCGTACACACAATTCGATTGTATGTATTTCAGCCTGAAATACAGTGGCATGTTTTCCCAGTGAGACGATGATGTCGCATTTGGGTTTAACTCCATGTACGCCAGAGCCTGTTCCCTTGTTAGTTTTAGATCCATCCGTATACCACACGAGACCGCTAAGCAAGTATAGAGTAAGATATATAAAAACAATACATAATTATATAAACATTTATACTTTTACAAAAACAGAATAAAAAGAATGATACAGAGTACATCTTTATATGCATCAATTTATATGTGATATACAGTTTTGATACCTTTTGAAATAACTTTAATTTTTTTATATTCCTCACATTGGTAGGTAAAGTGTTAAAAACTTTGGGAGCAATATTAGTTACAAATCTTTGATTTCCATCTCGCTGAACTGCTGAAGTTCTCAAATTCTTATATAATCTGGTTCTTGTGGTGTGCAAATGATTTGCAGTTTATCTCAATTCAGGCTTTTCATAAATAAAGGTACAAAAATAAAAAAAATAATCCTTTATTAATGATTGGCATGGTAATTATGTATTATTATAATATATTTTTTCATACACAATGTAACAAACAGTTCCTGTCAACTTGTTTTCCCACTGTTTTCGTATTTATTATTAAGATTTTTATATGTTTTGCATATGATAATGCATTATCATTACTGATTTCAAATTGAAAGGTATGGCACGAATCGCCGAGACTGACCTGAAAACAAAAAATGCATAAGTAATGTTATCTTTAAAATTTACTTAAACTAAAAAATTGTAATTATCAATATATAAAACAAACGGATTCTAAGAAATATCTTGGGGTACTATTTGATCAACACTTGAAGTGGAAATATTATATTGGTTATGTTACAAGACCATTATGACTTTTAATAGATAAATTCTATGAATTGCATGACATTTTGGCTCAAACGTGGAATCTATTATAAGATATTGTATCCCAGCGTAAATTACCTATTGATTTTTGTTTATTTTTTTTTTTTTAATTATTCACCTATATATTATGTCAATAATTATAAACTTATCAAGACTACTTACTGATCATCACTTTTTTAAACTTTAAATAGCAATTACATTGTTTAAAATTTATTAAAATGCTCTACCTCTACAGGACTAAAAGTCACAAGACAGTCCTTGTAGGACATTTTTATCTAATTATTGTATTGTAGGAATGTTTATTTTTTTTTGTAATATTATTTTCATCTGTATTTGTAACGTTTGGAGAGTGGGTTGTCCCACGGCACTTAGACATCACTAAGACAGTTGTGCATCCTCCCTAACAAATAGGCCCCTCTTAGCTCGTCAGCCAGCCTACATATTTGATGTCGCCGAGAGGGGTTTCATTTATATCGGCTGGTGTTAAGCAAAACTGGCCGAACACAACTTTTAATAAATGAGTGGGTCGGGTAACGTAGAGGACATGTTCGATAGTTTCAGCTTCTTTTTCGCACCCCCTGCAGAGTGCGGATTCTGACAGCTCCATAATATGGAGATGCTTTCATACTCCGCAATGACCAGTCGGAATGCCTGTAAATTAGATTCTGTCTGGTCATAGTCAAGTATTTGTTTGCTCTGGTGTTGTCAAGGTAACTTAAAAGCATGTGCATTGAAAATAGTCCATTCCTACAAAACGTTCCAATGGATTTTCTGATTCGTACATAAATGAGTCGGCAGATTGTTAAAACGATCAGAGCTTCATCGCTTGTACAATTTATCAGCACATGCGCATTTGAACGTTTCTTCTCGTTTGTGCTATTTGTTTGTAATTGTTGGGATTTTAAGTTAGCTTGGAGTGCCTTGGGTTTCTATTTCTTTCAATTGAAATGAATAATTTTTGTTTTTATCTTGTGTACGGTTTTTTTTTTATGTAAAATACGTATTTATTTTTAATAATAAATTATACATTCACATAGATCGTTCGAGACAGCTAAATAAATGTATTTTGTTGTATTTTAAATGTTTAAAATATCAATTTACCAAACGTGTGTTTGGTTTGTCAATTCCATTAAATTTTGCATTCGAACAAGTACAAGTCGCTGATTAAACAACGGACGAATAAACGAACTCACATGAGCAGTGATTAGTTTACTCATGCATCCATGTACGAGTCAGAGACACATCAGAAAGGAGCTGTTGGAACAAACCTAATATTTTCTTGTTTAATCCCTCCTTTCCTTGAATTTCACAAGATAATGTTCTTTAATTAGTTTTGTCACTACCAATGTTGACAGGTCCGAAAAGTATTTGGTTGGCTCCTTTATTGGCTAGTGAATCAGCAAGATAAGTACCTTTCGATGTAGTGTGACTTTTGATCCATCTTAAGGTGACCACATTGTTGATGGATACTTCGCCCAAAGCTTCATAACACTAGTACTAACTCAAAGTAAATTCGTGATCTGTCCAGGATGAGTGATGCTTGTCTGCTATCTATACAGGGTGTCCCTAATTTAGATGGTCATATTTTAACAGCCTAATCTACATCCTAAAATAGGAGTAAAAATTCATGTAAACATAGGTCCGAAAACGTTTCGTTTTCGAGATACAGAGTGTTACAAGTGAAGTCCTGATGGCACATTTTTGTAAATATTTTCTAAAATTTCTTTTGTCACCGGCTTTCCAAAGTTAAAAAAAATTTCTGTTTCCACAGGCCTATTAATTATTGTTTACACTTTCGAATAAGATAACATTAATTTATCATGAAATTTTCAAATGCTTTTCTTTTGAAAATGGTACGTCCTAGCGAGATGCAACAAAAGTAGCTATATTATAAAGAAACCATTGGTTTTTCAAATTTTCTAGTCAAAAATGTTAAAAACTATAAACAAAAAATAACTTGGGGCAATTTTACCCTTAGCCCCCCTAATTTATCCACCTATGAAGATGATCAAAAGCTGGGGTTTAATTCATTAAATAGAGCGTAAAAATGTAAGCATTTGTACCAAATTTCACTTAGTTATCTTTAAACGTTTAAAAAATATTTACAAAAGGGTGTCATCAGGACTTAACTTTTAACACCCTGTATCTCGGAAAAGAAACGTTTTCGGACCTATGTTTGTATAAACTTTTACTCCTATTTTAGGATGTAGATTAAGGGTGAGATTACAGAACGTCTGCAACTTTGCAGATCTGCAAATATGGCGGCAACTTTGAAAATCTGCAAATATGACTGACTTACACATGCAAGTATCAAGTTTTCGTATTCCAAATTTGGGTTTAGTGTTGTTGGGGGTAATAAACCACAATAAATATTGCGAATTTGCAGATAATAGGTCTTTTCCTTTGAATCGAAAGTGTAGCACTGAGCTACACCACTTCTGAAAATATCGTTCCATTTATACAAATTGTATGGATGGAACAATATTTTCAGAAGTGACGTAGCTCAGTGCTACACTGTCGATGCAAAGGAAAAGACCTATTTTTTGGAATACTTACATTTGTTAAGTCCGCCATATTTGCAATGTTGCAGATGCAAAGTTGCAGATGCAAAGTTGCAGACGTTCTGTAATCTCACCCTAAGCTGTTGAAATATGACCGTCTAATTTCGGGACACCCTGTATAGATTAATATCTTCCTTCAAGTGATATTGTTTCTGATACTTTCTTTTGCTGCTATGAGAAACCCCATGAGAACTAACCCAACTCTGGCACCAGTTAATTTAATAAATTTATTTATTTTATTAATTAATTTAATTGTATTCATTATCTGGGAAATGAAAATAAAATATTTTGATCAAAATCAAGAAATTTAAATAGAACCAAGCGCTTTATTGCAATTTAATTCGGAATTTTAATTTGCAACTAAAAGAAAGGAAAATGTGTATATATAAAAAAACGGGTTTTTATGCAAAAACAAAATACAACGCCGATAATGAGAATTCGAAA